TGGGTTCTCTCAGAGAAGGAGAAAAACAAATGTCCTTAGAGGAATGCTGAATTGCTAAAAACTACATATGAATGCTTCTCCAGATTTTGTAGTTGTTTTCAAGCAGATCCATGAAAGTTAAGTTCTTGGCAGATCTATGTGATCATCACTTCTATAGTTTTCAGTTAAATATATGGGGGACCAATAAAAGTAGACAACATCATGAAATGTAATAATACATAATACAGTTCATCTGTGCAATCACTGGCATCACATCATGACACACAGTGACTGCCACCCCACCCTGAACAGTGTCATCAGATATCATCACCTATTTTTAGTTTCATCTATCTTAGAAGCAGAGGGTTTGCTCGAGTTACAATTCTCTTTTATCCCCTTACACCTTAATACTGAGTTGTTGCATAACTTTATTCAGTGTGGCACTGAGGTATGAAAAGAAAAATCTTCTAAGATTTAAATCCAAATTCTGCAGTAAATAGCCATGACACCATGTGATTTAAAAAAAATACAAATCCTCAGTTATTTATAACTTTGGAAGCTGCTGTATCATCTTGCCATCAAGTAAGAACAGCAACAGACTTGTTCTAACAGCTTTGCAAAGACAGTTAAGACATTTACTGTCCTTGGGAGTGGGGCTTTATTGTTAATTACTTTGCCAAAAGAGTGTTATGATAACTTTGACAATGCACCTCAAATTCCTCCTTTCTCTCTGATTGTCTTACCCAACTGAAAGAGTCATGTCACTTTGTGGGTACACAATCCATCATAGAACAGAACCTCAACAAGGACTGCACATACATAACCCAAAATATAAATAGTGAGAATTTTCTTACATATCTCTTTTTTTTCCCTCCTAAATTCTGTACAGAGCATCCTTTCATTGGTCACCATACAGCTCAAAATATTCTCCCTAGCTGAAGCCCCAGTGACTTCACTTCCTGGCTGAAGGCCCCCCAACTGACTTCACCTCTACATGTATGATCCCACTGAGGTCAGCACAGATGGGGTTCTCCTCTGGAAGCAACAGCATGGTTGTGACCTCACATGGAAAGCTGCCAGAAAAATGACTTCTCTTCTTTTTCCTAAGATCTCAGATATTTATTATAAAAGAGTACAGTTGGTATTATTTTCTGAACTAGAGAGCACATGTGTGGTTCAGAATTATTGATTCTTAGCTGACGTAAATATGATCTCCTCTCAGGGAAAATTGCTGTAATGGGACATAACAGAGGAATTTACCAGCCTGTCATGCATTCACAGGCCCAGACAGGAATTTCTCAAAGACTGACTTGACTGAAAAATGGTAACACATCAATAGTCCAACTTTCCTTAACAAGATATTTGTTATCTACATAAGTTTTATTCAGGACTAGGTGAAAATTTCTAATCCACAACAATGCCAACACCAAACTAGCATCCCTGAGTTTTCAAGCAGACGTGGTGGATGGTTTAAATTCTTCTCCCACACGTGACTAAGACTGCTGTGTCAAAGGTACATCCTTCAGCATCTAACATTTAACGTTACTTCATGCCCTGTGAATACTTATGTACAAAACCCATTAAAACAGCTTTCCTGGGAAAGAACAAACAAAGAGAAAGGGGTGAGCTGATACTTCTGAGAAAGCAGAATTCAAACTCCTATTTTAAATCAGGCAGTACAAGGTTTTCTGCAGTGCAGGCACATACCCCTAACACAAATGTAACAACCACCATGTGCAAAGCTTTTCTCTTCTCAAATGACAACGCAAAGCCTAACCTTTGCCCTAATACAGACCAAAAGCTCTGAAGGTTAGATCTCAGAAAGCTTTGTTGCATGGGAAAACTATTTGCATTTGCTTATTCTTCTTTTATTCAGCACCTGAATCATGGTGCCAAATTAAGCAAATATGGCAAGCTGCTGTTTATCAGGACACAGTAATGAGCGGGAAGACTTTGTTCTGTGGGGGCGGTGTCTTCCTGACATTACTTTGATTCTTGAAATGACAGTTAAAAAGAAAAAAAGAATACATTTCAGTTTAACTGCTCTCGCAAAGCAGGTAGATTTTGTTACTTATGTTCTAAGAAATACAGCAACAGTGAATAACTGTTGATCTGAAAAGGAATTTGTTCAGGATTCACTCTAGGTCCCCTGGGCTGTCCGCCAGAACTGTTCTATGGAGACTTCTGGCCACAAAGAAATGAGCTGCATTAATTAAAGATAATTAAAGAACATCAGGGTCTTCATGCCAGCTCTGTGGGGGAAGGCTGAAGTTCAGGGTCTCTATGAACAGCTTCTCACTAATGTGGCTTCTAAATCTTTCAGTCTTGTCCTGAGCCTGTGAGATAGAGTCTGATTCTTCTGTTCTACTTAGTTGGGTGTGCATTTTGTAATGTTTGGAAAACAACCTGTGCCACCATGCTGGGCAGCTCCATCCTTAGTTCCCAGTGTGACTCATCCAATCTAATGGCTGCACTAACTCTTGGTTAGTGACAACTGGAGACCCTACTTCTAGCAAAAGTTCTGGTATTACTCTTACAGCCCTGCTCACAGTGTTAATTTAAAATGCATAGGATAAATATTTGTAACCCTCAGTTTTAAAAAGAAGTTGAAAAAAATGCTTTGTGTCTATAACTGAATGGAAATCAGAAAAAAATTGAATAAACAGCAAACAGGCAAACAAATAAAAATAATTCCTCCATTAATTACTTAAACCATAAAATGTATTTTTTAAAACATAAATTGTCATTTTTTGTTTCCAGCCTTTGTCAGGGCTTCTTAAAATTTTAGCTAGCAAAGCTCTTCCTGTTTTTATTTAATCAAAATATTTGCTGGTGTAATTGGCTGAAAATTCTGCCTTTCTATATTGACATTGTATATTGGCATATTTCTTTTAAAGAGATACACAAATTTGCACCATTTGAGGATCTTGGCCTGATCTTGGATTTCCTTAACTATAGGCTAACAGGTAAAAACCAGAATATGGCAGCTGACAAGAAAGTACATTTTTTGCTACTGATATGTTCCTAATTTCTGAGTGGAATTAATGGTAACACAATGCATAGTTGCATGCAGACTCTGTGTTTTTAGGAAGGCTTTTTGTCTGTAGAGAAAGTCAACTCTGAGCTTTTTCATATCTTCTGTCTCAGGAAAACCAGCCTTATATGTATTCAGAACTGCTGAAGCACAAGCCATACTGTGTTCTAGACACAGAAAGTACAAGGGCAAACTATGTATCTACAAAATTACATGAATGTACCTGATGTACTGCACATGCACAGCGTGGAATTACTCAGAGCATCCACTGTCAGCTACTTTAGAGCTCTAAATCACACCATTGGGCATCTCTCTTTCCCACTAACTACAACAAAAATTTAAGAATCAAAGTTTGATCTGTTGAATTAAATCTAAGAGAAATGGTTAAGGCAAACTAACAGAGGTGAAATGTGTATAACTGCACACAGTTAGACACAGGACGCAACAGGCTAAAATTACATGACCGAAAAAAGTATATATAGGGACAGAATATATTCTTTGCTTCCTGTGCTCAACACAGACAGCAGTGCATTAAGGGGAAAAAAAAAATTAAAAAAAGAAAAAAAGAAGAAAATCCCATAAAAATGTAACACAGTAATAATTTTTTATTTCAGTCCTTATTTCTCTCATACACTGAGAGGAATGTCCTCTGTCCACCATATAATTTAAAATGTTGATTTTAAAATGCAATCAGTATTTCTTACACATTCATAGTTGTGAACACCTGTTGCTAGAAGAGAAAAACAGATAGCCTCCTTCAGCTACTATAAAACTTAAACATTTGTCAGTTGGCATTGTCAAAGAGTGACTAAAAGCTGTTGAGGAAAAACCCTAACCCAAAAGTTTGAAATACAGGTGATCTAGAGGAGAATCAAAGACATTTGGAATATCTGCAAATAGGTCTTTCCTTCAAGGAGGTCACAGTGGGTATGTGGGTCTGACTTCAGAAATCTACATTTTTATGTGAGCTTTTCAAAGGCATATTTTGAGTGCCTCAGAAACAGCTTCTACTGTTGTTGAGCTTCTCTTATGCAGTGAAAGGAGTTTGTTGAAGCAGTAGTCTTTGCAGAAATGGAGTCACAGCAATTTCTTTTTTTTTTTTTCACAGGGATTTGTGTCCTGTCAGATATTTCAAATGTATTTACAGATATTCTTGTCAGATGCAAGACCATCTCAAATGTTACAGAAAGCTAGTGACAAGCCTTAATATTAGGGCCATCATACAGTTCAGAGACTTGGTTCTTCAAAAAAATCATGAGACGGAGCCTCAGGTACTACTAGCTGCCACACTACTGAAGTCATCCAAACCTAACAGAAAACGCTAAGTCTGGGAGAAGCTTTTGGAGTCCAAATTCAGATCTAGGTATAAAATCATTGCAGCTCCATGTAAGAACATTTAATTCTGTCATTTTGCATAGTGTTCAACTTTATAAACAAACTTTAAAATGCATCAAATTCCAGGGTCACAAACTTTAAAATACCTCAAATTCTAGACTCCTGCTGTGATTAGTCATTGTGAAAGGCAAAAAGGAAAAAAAAAGTGTGGTTACTATAGATTATGATTTAATATATGCAATATCATATATATAATATTTTGGTGGCCCTCAAGCTGTGGCCATGAAGTTACTGTCAAGAACAGGACATCAACACCTCATTTATAGGAAATCAGGACTTAAATGTCTGTTAAGAATATGTTCCCTGACACAAGTTAAAGCTGTATCTAAGCAGTTTTGAAAAACAAATAAACTCAATACAGAAAGCATTCATCCTGCTCTTTATCGCTGGAGAATAGAGAATATAATTTTAATTTCTGTCCTGTACGGAAACATAAATTGTACACAAGCATAAGTTAAAGTTTTAAGGGGTTGTCTGATGCAGAAGTGCCATGTTATTTCTGAACAGAAGAGAAGATTCCGTCTGAAATTAACCTGATACTAAATGCTTCAAAAAGCCAACACTTAAGAAAGAAAGAAAGGAGTGGACTTACTCTTTTTCGGGGCACTCTTCTGGTATCCTCGTAGTTCCACATGTGGGGGTCTGTTGGGCTTTGGTGGGTTCGGAGCCATCTTGACCACTGGGCCCCAAACCCTTCGCTTGGGGCATCTTGAACTCCTGTCCCCATCCTCTTTCTCTTGTGATTCATCTGATGACCTTTCTGCACCAAGTGCTGTATTGATTTTATGAAACTTAGGAGAAGAATCTGATCCTTCCTGGTTGACTTTCTTGGCAATGGTGGTCTTGGTAACACTCATTCCCTTTTCTTCAGTCTCTTCCTCCACGTTTTTCGAGGTGCCTTGAAATAAGCTCTGTGAGCGGCCAGCAGGCTTCAGAGATATTTTAGGAAGATGACTGCCTGCAGCTTCTGCAGCTGAGTTATTTTCACTCATTTCCTTTACTTTCTTAAGTGAGTGTGTATTTGTTCTAGGGCCTGACAGACTACTTTGAAGAGAACCACATTTATTAGAAGTGTCTGTATTGTTAGAGACCTCAATGTTAAAAGACGGTTTTTTAAAGAGAGAAGGCTTGGGTACATTTTCCTGTGCTGCAGACATTAGCTTTTTCTTAATTCCAGTTACTTTTGGAAATGCTGGTTTTGCCTCACTCTTCTGTGATGCCAAATCTGAATTTGGTTTTGCTCCCAGAGTATTTTCTTCATTATCAGGAGGAGCAGAGCTGGGGAACTTGTTCCTTGCAGGTTTTGGACATAGAGGCTTTGGGTCTCTTGCCGAGTCACAGGTTTTGATGGGGAATTTAGTGCCTTCAGTTTTTCCATAATTTTCTCTGTTAGTTGGCTGAAGATGAACACCAAACCTTTGTGCCACTGGGTTCAAATGTAATGGCTTTGGATCATGCTCTCTTTTGTCATCAGTTGAAGGCTTGACTGCCAGAGGAGGCTTAGGATGAACAGTTTCATGAGAGGTACTGGGTCCTGGAGTACACATTGTATTTCCTTGACTTGCTAGTTTCTCAAATGCTGCTTTCCTTTCCTGTTGTAATCCTTCAGGAATTTCTTCTCTTGGGATTTTGAAGGGTTGACTTTGAGCAGGATCATCCTCTCTGTCTTCGCTACCCTTCTCAAATTTTTCCATGAGTAACCTCAAATGTGACTTCCTACGCTACAAGCACAAAGAAGAGAAAAACAAAGAGGAGCAATGAGAAAGTCCTGTTACAATGTTCACACATACTGTACTTTAAAGAGTTTCCTGGTCTGAGGCTTGTGGTACTGCTGATTGGCTAGCACATCTTCCTGTAGGGTTAAGAGAAGCTGAGCATTTTGTTATATCCTTGCCTTGATGATACCATCTTTTAAAATTTTCATTCAGGCACTGCCTTTAGAGAGTGCCCATGTAGCTCCTTTTGGGCTTATTATAATTTCTGTTTATATCTGGAATTGGGAACTGGACATATAATAAATGTAAAAAAATACTACTTTAAAATTAATATATACCTAAAAATTTGAGTGTCTATGGTGAGAAGTACAGACTGTACTAGGACCTGGGTAATGTACCATATTAGGGTTATTCCTGCCAAGTCTTTGGAGAACTGCAAGTTCCTTCGTGAAAACAAAAATTATTCTGATTTGAGGGGGGTGTATGTGAGTTTTTCTTTCCATTCTCAGCAGTGTTCTTCCCTGCTGCTCCCCCCACCCTTGCTTTGTCCGTCTTTCTCTTCTCCATTTTGTATCTGAAAAACATATATGTGGATGGAAAATGAAAATATGTGAAGCAAAATGGGAAGAAATAACAAACAATGCACCCAGATATTTTCAAAGATACTGAACTTCTTGGGGGAAAAAAAAAGTTGAACAATTCCAAGTGGATAAAATGCAGCTTCATTCAGAAATAAATATTTGAATTGATCAGCCCTATTGAGCAACTTTCTGGACCAGTCCTTAATATGAACCGAAAACAAAAGCTCAATACATTTGAATTCAGCACAAGTAAAACCTAACACGGTGAAGGATGGGAGCAAAGGGAGTGAGCTGGTCCTGTTGTGCTGGGCTGGGGCTACCTTTGGGCTCCAGGGGCCTCCTGAAAGAGGGAGTCCTTTCCCAGCTGACAGTGGCAGCAGGTATGCAGCTATGGCAAATACACTGACATATCCAATTCACAACTTGTTTGAGTAGGATCTGGATTTTGTGTGTGAGTTAAAATGTAAAACTAATAGCATAAAGCGGGAATGTTATTAATAGGAAGGCTTCTGAATAATTTGTTTGTAAACAAGGAAGTATCACTACAAAGCATAATAAACAGGTGTTTGAAAAAAATTTAAATATTGAGGAATGAACTGTGTCTTCAGTCAGTACAGTTCAGCGTGTGTTCAGCGATTTTTTTAAATTTCATTAACAAGAGCTTTTCAATTGGGCTTTTGCTCCTTTTGCCTTCCATTTGATTGTATCACATTACATAAATGGCCTGTCATGTTGGAGTAGTTGTACCTAAAGTTGTAACCTGAAGTTAACTTTCTCAGTCTTTCAACATTACCAAGAAATTCAGTCTCTCCAAACTGCTTGTGTTGTTGTACAAATTACTCACATTTAATGCAGCCCAAACAAGATTGACATAATAAAATTTATACCCAGAGCACCACGTTGTTTCTTTTGCACATATAGAGAAGGGAGGAAGTGCACATTTACTATGGAAATTATCAGGTTTAAGCCATCCACTGCTGTTTGATGCATATGCACTCACACACACACACACACACACACACACAGAGAATTCCACTGCAGACATACACATATGCACCACTAATCATTTAAGATTTCTCCCAAAATACCTTGCAAAACACTGATTTTACCCCCTTAAACAGAAAGTTAAGCCAATAGAAAGGTAAGAGAGAATAATAAAGCCTTTTGTCTTTGATCTCTTTTGATTTTGAACTAATGCATGTTTTGGGGTTTTTTAAGTTCTATAACAAAACTAAACCAGTAGAGATAATGTAATTTTACTTCATATCTGAAGTCTTCAGAGCTTGAACACCTGTTTGGTCTCCCACAACGTTCAGCATGTAAAACTTTGAAAGCTGGGAATGAGGCCTTGAAGAAGTTTATTATTATATATATGGTTTCTGAGAAGTTTTCTACATCTTTTTAATAACAAAATTACATGAATTACATTCATACATGCTTTAAAATGCACTGAAACATTCACTACTGCCATGTTATGATTGCCACTGGATTTTTTTAAATAAGTTTCTTCCCAACTCTGTGAACAAACCTTGTCCTTGTCATACATATTTGCAAGCTCTTCAAGACTAAAAAGCTGCTGGACATGTGGAAGGGTTTACAATCAGCAATAGACCCTCTTTTGTTTAGTTAAAATGAGTAGTAAATGGTAAAGGGAACACTAGGAGTCAGAAGAGAGTAAGAAACTTGGTGAAATCTTTCTGCTTCTCTTTAACGTACCTCACCGGTTTCTGCCTTCATAAGCTACACTATATTAGAGGCCATGTTGTGGATTCTAATGCACAACCTGACAGGCTAGATAGACAGATTGGGAACTGGCAAAAAGAGAAAATCTTTTTTTTGTGGCTCTGCTCATAGAGTAATCCCCGCAGTTCCTGTGTTTCCCTTCTCAGAAGTGACAGCAGTTACCTATTTCGTTATCACATACAGTAGGCTGTAAATCAAGAAATGGGAACTTGAACAGATTCTGAAGTGAGATTAAGTTCCCGCTACCCTTGCTCTCTAAAGTGCAAACTGCCTGTGCAGCAGAGGAGCCTCATGCAAGAAATATTTGGATTATTTTCTAACCTCTCTCTTTGTTCTCTAGTGGGAAATTCAGTGCAAAATATTTTTGGCTTTTCAGCTTCTGATATGAACTGGAAGCAGCATGTAAGGAGCACAGTAAGATTTGCTTTGATAAGATGTTTGCATTATTCAAATATGTTTGTTCAAATCTAGAGCAATCCCCAGGTTTTAGTTCCCATGCCACACATTCCTTTGTATACACAATGCTTTTCCAGCCTGCCACTGCCTTCAGTAGAGACTCGCACAGGTACCAAGATACACTTGTACAGAATTCTTTCACAATGAGATCTTAATTACACCTCAGTGTTAACAAGTGTAATTCTCCATAATTTACAAAACAACTGCTCATTTCTGTACAGAAGTGCAGTGTAACGAGAACACAGAAAGTATGAAGGTTCCAACTACATTATTCCTGAATTTACTATGAATATTTCTGTCTCAACTAGAAGCTTGATTGAAAAATATTTGTTTTGCCTGGGAATACATATACTCTTATTATCTACTTTCCTGTCTTGGTGAAAGCAAAAGATCATTTCACTTCAACTTCCCCTAGAGGCTACTCTTTCTTCAAACAGCAACACTGGATCAGTGAATGGAATAGCAGATGTGTGTGCATAGGATTATCAATCAGGCAAATGAAATATATGTAACAGTTGACTGTACAAGGAATTGTGCAATTCTTCAAAATGCATGCAGATCTGATTTATAAAGGAAAAAAACCCCATCTGTTCACTTCTCAACTGTAACTTTTTCCTTTCTATTCCCCAATGATAAGATCTAAACAGGCCTTTCAAAAACCCATAGTCTTTCAGTAGAAGTAGACCTTGATGAGTTTGCTAGAGAGTAATGAAATAAAGATTAGAAACCTATCCCTTTAAGAAGAAAAGTGTTTTTCCTCATGAATGCTGTGACAGTGAAATAACCAGAGAAACTGTTAACCAGTAAGGGAATTGAGCTCTAATCCACAGACACGATATATGGAATAAGGAACTGGACAGAAAAGACAAGGAAAATTACGTATGAAAGTTATAGAAAAATACAGATCTGAAAATTATTTTGCAACCTTATGGAGGCCTGATATAACTTCTACTGGACTTAATGAATTTGAGGCAATGTAGCTGCTTGTTTGGATGTTAGTGCTATTCTGAATTAGTGATAAATTATTGCTTGACTGTTTCCTTTTCCAGACAGAGAGGCTTCAGAATTACCATTATGCAACTTTGTTGTTTCCAGAAGAGTTAAATAATTTCCACACTGCTTTTCTTCGTCTTGAGTCTAACTGTAATTTCTAGTTAAAGACTCACTCTAAGAGTAAGCGCAGCATTTGGAAAGTGGAGTTGAGGTTTTGCAATGCTCTGTACCTATGAATGTAGGTAGCAAAAATATGAAAAGAAGGCAGAAAACCAGAGTTTGCCCAAGCAAGACTTTCTCATACAATGGTTGGTATAAAGAGAAACCAGCCCTCATCCGACAGAGGCAGGCTATTTTGCTGCCTGGAGTTTTTATGAAAGGCAGATCTCTAGGGTGGAAAGGATAGACAGAAATCGAAGGGATTCTCCATTGAGAGGCTTACAGCCTCTATGTTACCCTGAAAGTATTTCAAACATCCCTGTAGCACCAACAAGACAAAACCAGCTCATATGTGAGAGTGTGCAGTTGTCAAAATTACACAAGACAGTGTTCCAGCCTGATCACAGTGTATTCTGTATCTTGTCCATTGTGCATTGCTCTGCACCTTGGTACCACTCTCTTGTCACTTTTACTCACCTTCTATTTAATCATGAGACCAACTACTCATATGGCAGTGACATAAACGGACAGTTCCAGATGAGTTTGAGACCAGGACTAGTGAGGGCACAGGGCTGGATCAGAACAGCCAGATGACATCCCAGCTTAGTCCCAAACTACTGCTGTCACAGGCTGTGCATGAGGTCTAAGCATCAATCTATGCATGATCATCTCTATGTCCTCATCTATGTCCTCATCTCATCCTATGTCCTGATAAGCTCACCACAAAGTTTCTCACTTATTGATTATTTTTGGTACCTATCTAAGTCAAAATCAGAAAAACTATCAATCATTGGCAACTCAGTCTTCAACAACAGAAACCTGGTGTTTTTAATTTTCCATAAAGAGCTTCCATCCAATAAAACCAGACTGTTTAATAGCCCTTCTGAAAAACAATTACATTTCTCTAACATGGCTTTGTATAAACACAGAACTACATTAAACTTAATAATTTTCTTTTTTTTTAAAATATTTTTTTCTCATATAGTTTTTTTATAAATTATTTATTTCAAAATAATTCAACTCTCTAGTGATCTGCCCAGAAATGTAACAAACAGATCTCTCTTCGCTCAGAAC